ATTTCTGTTCCTTCCATTCTCTTTTGAGAAAGAATAAGGGGAAACAAAATAAGGCTTGGCTACGCCAGCCAAATATCCATGGCATCTGTATGCCTTCGATACATCTCATCAACTTTATCAAAGAACAATTACATCCACATCAAACTGCATTGGTTGTTGTGGAAAGATAACAAAACAGAGAAACAGATTTAGTGGTAAGAGTTCGCCCAAACCTCAATTGCATCAGAAAGGCCAGGAATTGCTGTCATGTCACCACCAATTACTTTAAGAGTAAAATCCAGCTTTTTCTGCAAACAATGAAAATTACTTGTCATTTTTCCTATAGAGTTTAGGGGTGAATTGTGAGATATGCACCTGAGTAGCCTAGCTTGTATATAAACATCCAAATTAAAAGAGACATGTGATTAAATCCTTGAATTGTAGACCGAGTTGATACTCAATTAAGCACTCAGAATCTAGTTTTAATTCAAAACAAAAGAAATAGCTTTGGTTTTAATTGATTATATAAATAACATGATTACATTGATTCCAGTGCATGTATGTGCACAAAGTGCTACACAGGAAAATGAAAGATAAAAGAAAAAAATGAGGTTTATACAACACCTTCTGCCTTAGAGAATAACATACAGCTCCGAAGCAAGGAAACTCATCAACAAGTGGCCTGAAGATGAGCCTGAAAATACCAGTAAACGCGATGTTTTTCACCTAAATGAAAGGAGAACAATAATCACAAAGTTAAAATCAGATTCATAAGAGTTGGAACATAGCATGATGCAAATATTTCAGGAACTAAAATAGAAACTTCCGTGGATAAATTACTAGTGTCTTCATTTCTTCACTCTTAAACCGTGCAACTCTTTTAGATTTACTATTAAGGACGTATCGCAGGGAATATAATGACATTTAACTTTTCATTTTGTGTTCAGTCCAAGAAAAACACATAAGCACGAGCATGTCCATGCAAATCATATGGGATAACTTGCAAGTGTAAGACACAAATACAGACTAGTTAAGCTGAAACAGTTGTTTGTTCCCATTTCAACAAGCTTTTATAGAAAACATAATTCGATAAGTACAAGCTCTTCCAGAAACAATAAACGCAGACTTGAGGACATCAAGTAATACCAGTGCGTTCTTCAATTTGAGTATTCAAAGAGATAACAGAAATACTTGCATCTCAGCAGAAATTATGACCATATCATGTGAAACAGTTAAAGTATGTGGCACAACTCTGAGGTGAAAGTATGTTGTTCGGATTCTTCAAAAAATGTCGATGGGTGCATGTCAGATACTCCAAAAGTAGTGCAATTTTGGAGAATCCGACACGGGTGCAGCTACATTTTTGGAGAGTCCGAGCAACATATGGTGAAACTATTTACCTGCACCGGTAATGCTACACCAACATAGGTCATGATATCGAGTATTATGCTTGGATTCCCATCCCATTGCATCTCTAATTCCATAGTAATACCCTCACTTCCATCTTCAATAATAGAAATCCCTGCAGTGGCATATATATGAGATCAAGCATTTGTTAAATGTAGTGACATTCATCCTCACAAGCAGTTTCTTTTATTAAGGATTAACTGACACGAGATGATAGGATTGCTCTTTGAGGTTTGAATATCTTTTATACCCCTGCCTGTCTCAAATTATTTGTCACATTTTGACATCTCAAGAGGCTATACATGGCAGGAAAATGTTATGCAGTTTTTTTTTTGATGGTGGTGGTGTCCGTGCAGGGAAATGTTATGCTACTCCAAACATAAGCATGCCATAAAGACCTAGAGGACTGATAAGTTTGTTCATATGTATAAGTGACTCCTAAAACTTTAAGGTTGTACAATATGCAAGAGCTTTGAGGCATGTTACGCCAGCCATCGTCTACTAACCTGTGAATTGTGGAGCAACTGTACCAAGAGTGAACTTTGAAAATTTTAATGACGCCAAAATCACAGGCCTATATTGTTCCAAAATTGGCTCCACACTTGACTTTACTAGTTCTGATGCTGCCTGACCATATATACCCATAACGACTCAATTAGCAACAAAAAAGTTCCAACAATCAGAAATCAGAACCAAAAAAAGGGGGATACAGAAAATTGCAGAATCGCAATAGAGTCAGAAACTAAACTATGTATAGACATTGAACCCCTAACCTCATCCACATATGGCCAGATCTTTTCAAGATGAGAATTAAGCCATGCCAACTGTAAGAACAAAATTGAAAAATTTAAAAGGTCATTTTTTGCTCTCAATAAACTAAATCACAACATCTATTCTAGATAGAAAATAAACAAAGTCCATAAAGGGACAGTCTTGCAACCAAAGACCACAATTTGAACCATAATGCACGAATTTAATCTCAATGATCTTATATGGTCACTATGTGCTCCAAAAACAGATAAGGACATCAACGGTGTGTTTGTAATCTCTTTTTTCTGATTTTGGCTGCTAGAACATATGTTTTGCGAAAACATTTTTCCACCAAAAAGGAGCAAACAATTATCTCAACATATAAACATTATTATCAATCTTTACTACTCAAATATTTTTCACCAAAACACTATCCGATTTGCTTATTCAATCTTCAATAAATGTCTTCTCCCAGAAAAGCTTTCCATTCTCCAACCAAACACGAAAAACATTTTCCAGAAAATAAGTCATTTTTCAGATTTATGATAACTGACATTGCTTTAGCTACAAGTACATCAAAATCCAGTAGCTTTGGTTTAACCCTATATTAATGTTATAAGATGTAAAAATAGTCTTTTCAGTCAATGTTACTCGGACTCTTCAAAAATGGTTACGGTTGATGGTAACTGTCGTATACTCCAAACTAGTGCAACTTTAGATAATCCAAAATGGGTACAGACAACATTTTCTGAGAGTCCAAGCAACATAGCTTTCAGAAACCCAACAAAACAAAAAGAACAGTGGTCTAGAACCCATATAAACTAAAAATTCTGACTCCGCCACTACGTCCTACCAAAGACATCCTAAAAAAAAGTTAAAGACTTCACCTTTTGTTGATTTGAGAAAACAACCCAAGAAGGGTATTGTTCTGGTGTAAAAGATTTTTTCTTGAATCTTCCACTGTCATTCTAGCAAATGCAGCAATTCCACTAGCCTTTACAATTCAACCAAAAAACAACATAAATAACAAAAAAAAAACCCAGAAATGGAAAAAAATAAAGATCCAAAAAAAACAAAGACTTTAGTTGACTAACCAGATCAGTACGTTGTTTGGATCTAGCATTTTCAGATTTCACAAAAGCAACTACTATAGCAAGTCCAAATGCTATTCCAAACACAACCCCTAAAACAAATGACATTTTTTATTCCACTTTTTCTTGAATCCCTTCTTCCTTGTTCAGTGATTTTTGTAAGCTAATAAACTGAAAAATGTTGAAAAGATCTAAAAAAAAAAGATGAGATTTTGAATCTGTTTTTGGAGTTTTCTTCTTATGGGGATTTCCTAAAAGTTGAATTCTTGAAAAAAATTACATCTTGAGATTCACTGAAACTTAAAATTGTTGAAAGAAGAACTCAAAGTTGGGATTTTTAATCTGTTTTTTGGAGTTTTCTTCTGGTGGGGTTCTTCCAACAGGTAAATTCTTGAAAAAAATAAATTAAAAAGTATATCTTGAGACTCAATGAAAGTTGGAATATGTATTGAAAAGTGAAACTTCATTTTAATTTGTTTGTCTAGTTTTTATCGACTTGTTATAAGTCTAAGAAAGTTAAAAAAAATCTTTGATTCATATGCTTTTAAAATGATTTTTAAACATGTCACGTGAAATATTGAAATTTAAAATTCAAAATAAAAAAGTATATATAAGTAAAGAAGAATTTTAATGATATAATATTAAATTAAAGCTATATAAAAAGACATATCAAAATATCTTTTAATGTTATAGTCTTAAACATATATTATGTGAAACGTTGAAATAAAAAAATGTTCAAAATGAAAAAAAATTATTCTTTTTGAGACAAATTAAAGTACAATAAATAAATTAAAGTTATAAAAATATTTCAAAAAAATAATAAAACAAACAAATTAAAACGAAGAAAATTGATGTTTTCAATCATCTTTCTTGTTATAATCAAAGCTTTGAACGGCCATAACCAGACAAAGATACTTTAATTGTTTTCAAAGTGTCCAAACTAAAATTAGGAAAAAAAAATAGGAATGTCATTTTTCTGACAGGTGAGTTGACTATTTGTGGGGCAATATTTTTAACCAATTATATTTTGCCATGTGGTGAAATTATGTAAAGTTTTAATTTATCTTTCTTAATTTTTAAATGATTTGATTATATTTTTCTCTTTGTTAAATTAAATTTTTGGAATAAGTCTATTTTAGTCCATCAAAAATAACTTTGACATGTAGTTTTGCAGATAGTAAAGATCCAGATGAAACTGAATCACAGGTCTTGAATTCGAACCTGAAAAATAAAAAGAAATCCTTATATAGAGCGTTTTGCCCTTTAAAAAAAAACCTTTCCCTCATTGATAATCAAACAATATGAATTAGTTGTTAAACAACCAGAGACGTAACTTTCATTCATGAAGTATAAATATATGTAAAAAAAATTACCAAAATCAAAATCACGGAAGTTGATACTGAGTTAGAGAACATTTTAAGGCTGATTTATGTTTAGAAAGATGCAGAACCACAAAATTATTAGCCAATTCTGTAGTTTTGATACTCTTCTGCATCAATTTTTTAAAAAATTAACTTTCTAATATTAAGTGATTTCAATCATAAGCCAAACTGATATATTTGATTACTGCTTTGCTTTTTCCTGTTTTGTTATGCTGATGAGTTATGTTGCTCCGAATCTCCTAAAATATAATGACACCAGCGTTGGTTACTTAAAATTGCACTACTTTTGAAGAATCCAACACGTCCCGTTGACATTTTTGAAGAGTTTGAGTAACATAGCTAATGAGCGGCTGTGTAGATCACTTCTATCAACTGGAAACAAAAACAAACATAACTTGAATAACTATTGATATTAAAATAACACACATATAATTATGTTTCTATCAAACATATATAAACAACAAACAGAAAATTGAAAATACAAAAACAGAACCAGAAAAGTTCACTAATTAGTCCACAAAATCAAACAAAGACAAGTTGGCCCTCTCAATCTTCCATTAAGTCTGTCGTCTCTGAGCTCTCTTCTTTGGCCTTCTTCTTTTGTGAGGCATGAGTCCATCGAAAAATTCCACAAACCATTTTGGCTTACGATATTTATACATAAGACTCCACATGACAGTTCCAACAACTAGTCCAAAACTGTAGCCTATGACTACTGATTCCCACGTAAATCCACTAAAAAAATATGACTCGCCTTCTTCTTCGGACTCCAATTGTTGAGGAACATGCGATGAATCACTCGTTTCACATTGCTTTGTTAAAGGACGACCACATAAATCAAGGTTGCCACCATACGAGTCATTTTCAAATGTGTTGAATTGTCGACCTTGAGGAATTGGTCCGACGAGATGATTTTGAGAGAGGTTTAAGAAGGCTAGAAAGTTCATTCTTGTTAATTCCTGTGGAATCTTTCCAATGAGCCGATTCCAAGAGAGATCTAAAGCTTCAAGCATACTCAATAGTCCTAGTTTCATTGGAATATCGCCTCTGAGATTGTTACTGGATAAATTGAGTAACCAAAGTGAGCTGAGATCCTTTAGTGTTTCCGGAATGACACCTTCAAAATGGTTGCGTGAGAGATCTATGGTTGTCATAATTGTGCTGATTCTTTCTAGCTCAATATCGTGCCCTTTGATTACCAAACTCACTGAATCCTCATACGATGTGACCAATAGCGAATTCAACATAGATTCCATGTACTTGATATTTCCTGTGTCTTCGCCATCTAATTTGATCATTGCCTTGAAGTTTCCAAAAACATTTGCAGGAAGTGAGCCACTGAAATCATTATGCGAAAGATCAAAAATTCGCAACTTGGAAAAGCAAAACTTAGTTTGACATATACTTATAGGTCCATGGAATTTGTTCGACTTTAATATAAGGACCTGCAGCTCTTGAAGAGTTCCGAACCAAGCTGGAAACGTGTCATTTATAGCATTGTTCCCCACATCAAGGACTTGTAGACCATTACAATTGAGCAACGACACAGGAACATGTCCTTCAAATCGATTACCATTTATGACAATGGTACTCAATGTAGTGCTGTGTGCACATAATGGGGGAAGACTCCCTGTGAAATTGTTCCTTCTTAAGTCTAGCACCTTAAGACTAGCCATGCTTCCCAAGCAATGTGGAACTGAGTCACTGAAGTTGTTGCGTGATAAATCTAATAAGATAAGCGAACCCATGTTACAAATGGATGAAGGTAGTGGACCCTGAAGGGAGTTAAATTTCAGATCAAGATACCGTAGGTTATGGTAACGAAATTGTGGTAGGTGGCCTGTTAAAGAATTATGAGAAAGGTTTAGGAACTGCAACGAGTCCCACCTCATGCCGCTAAACCAGTCAGGAATTTGGACCACGAATCTTATTGTTAGAAATATCCAAGTACACAAGTGTCTTTTACATTTCTCAAGAAGTGTGGAAAATCCTTCAGTTTGACAAGATGATTAAGAATAAAGATGATAGGCTAAGAAAGGTGATATTCATTCCCTCATCAATGGTGATGTTATTTGATGAAATTCCAAGGATTTCAAGGTTTGTGAGATTCACAAGTGATTGAGGAAAAGAACCACTGAGTTGATTATTGCTTAAATGCAGTTCTCTTAATGTTGGGTTTGTTTTGATCACTTCATCGGCTAGACCTCTGAATCGGTTATGTTGGAGCGACACTGAAGATAGCAAAGGTAGGCTAAACACCCAAGATGGTATGGTACCATTCAGTGAGTTGTATGACAAATCCACAGAAGTTAGCTTTTGAATGCTTTGGTTGCTAGGCAGTGGGCCAGAAATGGAATTACTCGACAATCTTAAGTATTCAAGATGTGTCAAACTTAAAATTAAAGCGGGAAACGAACCGTTGAAGCTGTTTTCAGAAAGATCTAAAGAATATAGCTCTTGGAGGTTAGAGAAAACATCAGGAATTTCACCTGAAAAGGAGTTGGAAGAAAGAAGTAAATAACGTAGCTCTTTGAGGTTAGAGAAAACATCAGAAATTTCACCTGAAAAGGAGTTGTCAGAAAGATCCAAACTTGTGAGGTGCTTCAATTTAGAGATTGTGGAAGGAATATGGCCAGTGAAATGATTATTAGATAAATCCAACTCCCTAATTTGTGTTAGGTTGCCTATGGAATCAGGAATGGAACCCAAGAATTGACATCTATGGAGGTTCAAGATATTCAAGGAACTGAAGGTGCCAATTGAATCAGGCAGCTTACCTTTGAGAAGATCATTATCACTCAATTTGAGCGTTTCCAAGCTGTTTGACGGAAGGAAAAAGATCTCTGTGAGAACACCTCGCAGATTAGTATCTTCAAGATCCAGGTACCTTAAGGAGGAAGAAGAGATATTCACAGGTATCGGAGATGAGATGTTGACTTCAAAGAGAGAAAGTATCTCCAGATTTGTGAAGTTCTGAAACATTGCTTCAAATGTTCTCTCATCAAGTTGTAATGCATAACCATAAGAAAGATCAAGTGAAACCAAATTGTTAAGGTATGAGATTTCTGTTGGGATTTTCCCATCAAATAAAGAATTAGAAAGGTTGAGATGCCTCAAATTCGTCAATCGGCCAATGTTATGTGGGATTGAAGACCAACTGAAGTAATTGTAAGCAAGGTTTAGTGTCTTGAGATGATGAAGTTGGAAGAGGGTGCTATTGGGATGAATACTGCCACCAAGTTGACTACAACTAAGGTCTAACCCGATAACATGACCGTTTAATAAGTCACAAGTGACTCCATCCCAACTGCAGCAATCCCTACTCTCATTCCAAGACTTTGTTTTTGGGAAATAAGCTTCACGACACCAATAACTAATGTACTGAAAGGATTGCTTAAACTGAAGCAAAGCAGAAGCTTCAGTTGGAGAGCAAAGATGATGCTCAAAGGAAGAAGAAAAGCATTCACTTATTAGCAACACAAAACACAGAAATGAATAAAAGAAAAACAGACTCATGACCATTTTTTGTTTGTTTGTTTTCAGCAAATAACAGGATGTTTGTTCTCTTTTTACAAATCAATCAGCATTATCCACATATATATATACTAGTTTCAGTTGTCATACATAAATTGAATACCTATAACATACTGATTAATGTAATCCTACAAGTAAAGTTTCAAGAAAGTAGAATATACGCAGATCTTTATGAAGTAAGAATACAAACAACAAAAAATTTCAATGAAAAAACATAATATTAAGTTAAAATAATCAAATCTTACTCAAAACATTAAGAAGATTATACAATGGTATTGAAATAATTGCGCTGAATTTGATAAGTTGATATAATAATATTAAAATGGTATTTCGCTATATCAAAAATGATTTATAACGGCAATTAATTAAGTTTAATTGCCGCTAAATATGTATTTTTAACGGCAATTAACACTCTTTGCATATGTCCCTAAAGCCTTTAGCGACATTGAATCTAATGACATTTAACTAATACCGGCAAAATTTTTAACACTCTTTAATAATGTGTATATTTATTGCCGCTAAAAGTTGTTTTTGTTGTAGTGTTTGTTGCAGTGCTTGTAATTCAAAGAATACACCAAAAAACAAATTTGATATTTTCTTTAACACCCAACAATTTATTTTGCATAATGCAAAAGGTTTTACCGTTTGGTAGGCTTTAGAATATTCAATAATGAATAAATAAAAATAGTAATAGGTATAAAAAAGGTAAAAATAATAATATGGGTTCATGATGATCGTCAATATATAAATAAGTCAATAAAATAAGTAGTCATGTAAGAAAGAATGCTATAATTATCTAAACACTATTTTATTTCTTAATTATTTCAACGACCTCCATATTAAATAAAGCAAAAAGTTAACTAAACACTATTTCATAAAGTAACGTTGTTGACTTGTCTATGCATGAGACTATGATGTATAAAATGGGGTACTACCTAATTTGTGGTTGCAAAAAATGTTGTCCCAAGTGTTAACTCAAGTTTTAAGTCAGTGTTTCACTTGTTACTCATATTTTGTAGTGTTCCGCAAAACTTTTTAGAGGACAGACAAGACTTAACAAAATAATACTCTCTATGTCCTAATTTTCTCTAGATGTTGAGTTCATTTCGAGGTCATTAACTATCGTTGCAGTATGTGTTAGGCAAAATGATGAGAAGTTGGTCCCATTATGTGGAAAAAATTTCTGCAGAATTTCTAAGAAATTTCCAATGAGAGAAACTATTTCTTGACTAAGTCAAGTGAGGAAAAAAATGAACAATACTACCGTGTGGTAATTTATTTTTTTTCTTTTATTTGCTTTTTATTCAAAATTTTGTTTTATGTGTCTTAATTTTCTGCTTAATTAGCATGTTTTGAATAACTTGGTGAAGATCATTTTATGAGAAATTTCCAAGACTTTTCATATTTAGTTAATGAGGGAATCTCCATCTATATGATACAGTTCAAACATGAAGAGATGGAGAATAACCAAAGTAGTAGAGAGGCTGTTTTCGTAGCCCACTACAAGAAAAATGTGAATTACATTGGGATTTTTCTAGGGATTATTAATGAAAATTCGCAGGAAAATATGTTTCCTACGGATTTTCGTATCAAAAAGAATCCAAAGGTAAAACCTTTGTTGGTAATTATTTCCTGTGAATTTCAAAATCCCCAAGTAATTTACCTAGGGATTTAAATTTCGCAGGTAAATAACTTGCGAATTTTCTTGCAAAAAACACCAAAGATATCCCAAATTTTTTCCAATGTATTCGCAAGTAAATCCGCGTAAAGATATTCTAATAAATCTTTACAAAATTCTTGTAAATAATATTAATTATTATTTCCCAGTTACATCTAACACCACTCACCCCACTGCCCACCCATTTATCTTGCATACCATTCATCACATACCACTTGAACACAATTTTAATTCCCCCACCCAGAGTGCCCAGTTGAATTTGTTGGTGCCCACCCATTTATTGTTGCTCTTTGAAATTTTATTCTACTTGTGTTTAGTCGTAGCATTATAAATGCTAATCTTTTCATGTCATATCAATAAGGTAAAAAAATATATCTTAAATGTTGGCTAAAGTTCATTTGATTTAACTCTTAATAAGTGAAACTATATATTTAAAATAAATCACCACCACCCAACATATCATGAAAATTTTATGCTTACACTTTCTATGAGATAATATCCATAGCTAAGCATATTAAACGTAGACAAAATTTATATTATACATACAAAGTTCTATAAATAAATAATTGAAAATATAAATAAATCTATAAGTTAAATTAAAGTGCAAGAAAGTTATAACCAATAATTGATAGTGCATCTTATTAGATATTTGTGGTTTTATAATTTTAATTTATCTTTTAATAATAATTATATTTTAACATACTTAATAATATTTGCAAATAAATAACATTTAATAACTTACTATAGAGAAATTATATCATATTTAATGCTTGTAAGAAAAAAGTATATATAAATTTGCTATATTGTTAAAATTTATTTATTTTTCATTTAATATAATTTTATCAACTAGGGGTTGATTAAAATTCACATTAAAAATGTATATAATTTAATTTTACTCTACTTAAACAGTGATTGACTTATTCAATAATACGAAATTTAATATAAAGTAATATCTAATAAAAAATAAATATATTTATGATAGTTATTTTTCTAAGGATAAATAACTAGCCATATAATTTTAATGTATGAAAATGCTACTTGCAAATTATTTTTCCCAAATAATTCCCCAGGTAATAATTTTGTAAAAATGGCGCCAAAGTTACCTACCAATTTTTCTGGGAAATTATTTTTCGCATGTAGAGAAGTCTAGAATTTAGGAATTTCACATTTCCGCATGAAAATTCATAGAAAATTTTTGCGAAAATAATCCGCAAATGAAATTCCCAGGTAATTTACAGTTTTCTAGTAGTGGACCCTTGACTCAAGATAAAGGTGTAGTGATCTACACTACATCAAAAATGATCTTTAGGGGTAATTACTTAACGGCTATAGCTTAATTGCTACTAAATATGTATTTTTAGCGGCAATTAGCACTTTTT